TTGTAAATGATATTTAATAGATTTTATGTAGAGCTATGAAATATTTGGAAACAATGGAATTATATTGTTCATGGAATGAGCTTAATAATAGAATTTATGTAATATGTACGTAAATATATCGTACTCCCTATGTAAAAATTTCCAATTTTGAGGAATTTAATTTAATTTGGGGGAATCCTAAGTGTGTCAAATTAAAAAGAGAAGAAGTTTATGCCTCATGCAGTACGAAATTTCAATAAGGTTAAAAATCGCATTTTTGTTTTATTTGTTACTGCATTTGTTTATTATTTTCCTTAAAAATTTGAAATATTTGAAATTTCTTAGAAATTCCATATAAATTCGGATAACAATTTAACATTTATTCGAAAACTGATCTTTATGTACTCTTGCATTCTATTGGACGATATGAGTCTTTATGTTTTTACAATACATCATAATTAAATCAAAAATATTTTTTAGTTTTTGGATATTTTTTTCCTTTTCACTTCTAAATTCTATATTTACGTATAATTTATCCCTTCTATTTCCATATTATTGCATAATATAAAAAGATTCAACTGTATATTTTGTATTTAAATAAATATACAAAATTTTCATTATAGAATTTATATATGGTAGAAAAACAAAAACAAAGGATGATTTACAATAATATAACAGTTATATATTTTTGTTTTTTTGTATAAGAGTACAGATGTTCTCCAAATTAAGGACATTGGTTTGTAATACTCATTTTATAAAATTTTGTTTTTATTTTTTTTTTTTTTTGGTAAATTTATTATTTTGTTCTACTTTTAAGTATATACACAGAAGATATTATAAGAACAAATAGAAAATAAAAAAGAAAAGAATAATTGAAATATGTAAAAAAAAAACAGTAAAACAGTAAAAATAAAGATGAAAATAACAAAATATAACAATTCATTTAGAAAATGTCCTTGCGATATTTTATATGTCATGTGTATTAATTTGAAAATCTACAGATAAAACCCAAACAAAATAATAATATAAAATAAAATGACCAACAGAAAACAAAACAAGAAAAAACAAATAAAAATAAAACTTCCTAAAATTTTTTATGAAAAAAAAAAAGAAAGGAAAACAAATAGAAAAATAGAATAGAAACAGGAAATATACAAAGGAACAAAAAAAATTTTATTCGTCCTGCAAATAATCCTAATGTGATGTTCTGCCCATAAACACATACATATAGCATGTTTTTGTGTTCTTCTTCCAGTAATAAAATATTAAATATTTGTAAATGAAATTATTTTGCAGTAAATTTGAATTGAAGGACATTTTTTTTTTTTGCTTATATTTGTTCTTGTTTCTTTTGTTTTTCTTTTTGAAGGATTTAGGAAATATCCTTGTATGACATTATGTCAAAATAGGAAAAATAAGAATATTTTTTTGAATATTATAATTTTTACCTTAAATTTATTAAATTTTATGAATTCATGAATTTAATTAGGGTACACTTAATATTTAAATATTTTTTTTTGTGATATTTTAAATAATTATGGTATTCTATTTACAATTATTGAAATAGGAACAGTTTTTTCGAAAAATTATTTAATTCAATATAATATGTAATATGGTTATAGTTAAATATTTAACGGCATTATGAAAAGTTTAATAATTAATACATTAAGCACTTATATTTTCCATTCTATAAGTGCAACTAATGATAAGTAACTAAGTGGCACTACCATCGTACATTGAATTATTGAATTACATTCTAAAATTTTCACATAATCAATGAAAATTAATTCTACTCTTGTTTCTTAAAAATAGTCATATTATTAAAAATGTTTTACTTTTAGAACACCATTCTAGGACAATAATCAAAAAAAAAAAATTAAATCAGAATAAAAAGAACGCATCAGCTTAGAAGAAAACACCCAAATGTTAACCTTAATTATAATTAAAAATTTGTACCAAATTATGATAAAACAATTTAAATTGTAATTATTTTACATATTAAAAATTTCAGACAAACAAAAATGTCTAGCAAATTTAAAGTAATTAAAATAAAATTAACACTTCATATATGTATGTACAAAAGGAGTCTTACTATATAAAAATTATCATTATAAAATAATTGTGTACATGAGCACAACACTATATATATATATATATATGTAACATAAATGTAATTTTTTTTTGTAATAAAAAATTATGATCCTGTATCTGTATGAAGCTTAACTTGTATAGGACGAACAAATTAAATTCATAATTTTTCTGGATCCTATATATAAAATTCTATATGTTAGAATCGAGTTGCTTTAATTTTTTATTTAAATAAAAATATAAGAATCCTTATTTCATATATATATATATATAATATAAAATAAAACAAAAAGGAAAAAACAGGAATTTGTTTTTTTTTCTTAAAGCGTATAATCAAAAGAAAAATGAAAAATAAAAATACAAACACGTATTAAAAAAATATTTGTAAGCCCTTCAAATCTCTTTTAATTTCTATTCCATTTAAATCCTTATGATCATTAAATTTATAATAATTTACCTTTAGAAATATCATAAATTCTTTGTGTGTGTATTTGTGTCTTATTTTTTTTTTCAAGAATTTCTTATATTCATTTTGTATATAAAAAAAAAACAAATAGCAATTTTTTTTTTAATTCATTTTTACTTTCTATGTATCACATAAAATTTATTTCGTTATTTATTCAAACATAATTGAATAAAAATCACAAGGATATGAACAATTTTTTTTTCCATTTTACTCAAAGAATACAGTTTGTTTTTTTCCTTTCTCTATATGTACTGCTTTTTTTTTCAAAATTCTGTAGACACTTTTGATGTAATAAGCGCAAATTCCTTTCCTTAGATTCTCATATTATAACTATACCTTAAATTTTAACTGTATATCTAGGTCTCTTCATTATTTATGTATATATATATATATATAAATCATAAGGGTAAATATACCTTTTCCATTTGCTTGTCTACTTGGATTTTTACCTTAATAATTTCATGTATGAAAATTATGTTACAGTTTTTTTTTTCTTCTACATTAAAATCCGTTTGCATTCCGCTAAAATAAAAAAAAAAATAGAAGAAAATTTTTTTCTCTTATATTGTTTTGTAGAAAAGATTTTTTTTTTTTTACTCATTATACTCATATATACTTATGTACACCTGATGACATGCTTTGAAAATGTCCTTCCTGATTAATATTTTTTTTTAATCATTATTACTTTAGTCCGTTATTAAATCTTAAGGATTTAATATAGTAAACTATAAAAAAAATAAAAACTAAAAGGAAAAATGAAAATATTAAATTCAAAAAATTAGAGAATTTTGAATTTTCTTATAAGGTTACAAAAAAAATAAAAACGCTTTATAAAGGATAATGAAAAACATGGGAAGGAAAAAATAACAAGAATTTTTAGTTTTTTTTTTTTTCATAATTGAAAATATTATTTTAACGGAAGAGATTGTAAGTAATGGGGTAGAATGTATTTGTAGAAAATATTTTATAGGATGTGTAGGTTGCTTAAAATTATTTCACTTTAAAGATTATGTACACATATATATAGATGGTGTTATATATATGGAATACGTTTTATCTAAATGGGTAAAAGATATATTTTTTTAATGAAAAACATGAGAAAAAGAAAACTATACACTTTGTCTTCCTTTTTCCGCTCTTTTAAGTTTAATGCTATACGAAACTTTCTATTCGTTCAAATTTTAAAATTATAATTTGAATGTTAATTCAATGGGAAGGATATTTGTTTAAAGATAAAATGAAAATTTTTTTTTTTGTCTTTATTAAATTTCTTTTTAAGCTTTGATTATAATTTTTTTTAATATTGATAAAAAGATAAAGTGTATATTGATAAAGAAAATTGGATTCAAAACCGAATCCGAAGAAAAAAATTTAAATTTTCGTTTTATTTATTCAGAATTTTTTTTTTTTGGAAAATGAATTTTGGTTTAACAAAATTTTAAGTTTTATTAAAATTGTTATAGTTGTATGAAATATGAAATTTTTTGGTTTAAGATTAATTAGATCTAGCCCTATATTAGCCTTTTACTATCCTTTTCAGAAAACCTATTAACAAAAATCAAGCCCTTTAATAGACTTTTTAGAAACTGTTTGTTTGAAACTTCTATCTTTTTTGGAAAGGAAGTCATAGGCAAAAAAGCTTGGGTTTGTAGAAATTCCTTGAGATTTCTGTTGGGATTTAAAAACTAGTTCGGAACAAAAAGTTTACCTATTTTTGATGTCCAAAACCAGCTGTCCGCAAAGTGCGGCCCATGGGCAAAATGTGGCTAGTTCAACTTCAAAATACGAGCCATCATTCTGTTCGCAAGGAACATAAATATTCGACTGCGATTATTAAAATTTGAAAAATTTTTTTTTCAAAAAAATTTCAGGCTCAATCAAAGATTATTATTTACCAGAGCAAAACAATAAATAAAATCAGATAAAAATTTTATTTTTCTTTGTAAGTAGGTAGTGTAAGAAACTAGAGTGGCCGATGGTCAAATTCACACAGTACATATTTGCACATAACCCACAAAAGTTTGCCGATGTCTGCCTTAAACAATTATATATAATATTGTGTTGTTTACCGTGTTTACTGTGGAAATATTCATAAAGAAAATTCAATAAGTTACTAATGCACGAAAATGTCAATGCTAACAAAATGAGTAACCGAAAAATTTGTATTTTTAAAAAGCAAATGATCTGTGCATTATTCTTTGCTAGTATAGTCATTTGAATTTAATCCTTGCTTAATATCCTTGGTGATCTTATGTTTTTCTTTTAAGTTTATAATCAAAAATTTTGTAATATTTTATTACTATATTGTTTTTTCTATCTAAATTACGAAAAACAAAATATATTTTAAATTAGTAGATTAAATAATTTTCACAATGATCTTTATTATTCTTTCATAATTAGAGAATTTAATATGAAACCAAAGTTTTTAAATTTTAATAATTAATATTAAACATTTTCTAATTTTCAGATAACAAAAGGCTTATCTCTGAGTATCTTTCATCATACATTTGCTAATTTAAACAGGTAAGTTAACACTTTGTAAATTTTAAGCTTTGAAATTAATTTTTCACAAATTTATTTTCAAAAATTTAGTTTACGACTAGTAAAATTGCAGTTGAATGATTAATGATGGACTAAGATTTTATTAATGAGTGAATAGAATTTTTACGATTGACCAACTTTTTGTGAATAAGGTTTATACCACGCTACTTTTACCACTAATTTGTTTAAGCATAAAATTAAATAATTCACTACAATATGAATTTAGATTTCTAAATCGTAATCGAAACCAAACAATTGAAAAAATATTGAGGTATACATACACAACTTTACTGATTATAATGAATTTTCATCATTAATGTTGAACAGTAGTCATAGCTTAACCAAATCCCGCTAATTACTTTCATATAATGGTATGTGAATAATCTATTTTGAAGCGTCTTAAAGTATAATTACATAGTTCTCATTCATTAAAGGAAATATACCGGTTTTAATTAAAAAAGTAACTTTTGAACTTTTGAAGAATAACTTTCAATTCTAATATTCCCAAAATTACGTTATAAGTTTATTGTACTTTCTTTATGATATAGAATAAAATTTTCTCACAAATTAAAGAGTCTCTCTCTTTATCCAAAATATTCTATAAAATAAATCCTTTTACAATCACATAATTATATACATGCATACATACATACATTTAGCTGTCAAATAGTAAATTCACAATTATACACCGAGTAATAAGTTGTCGACTTCATAAAGTAGGATTTTTCTTCTTTTTTCCATTTTTCTATAAAATTAGAACTTTATTTTTTTTTTTAGACTATATTTAATGTCAATTTCTTTTTTAAATTTCATAAAATTTATTTCACAGCAAGAACATTAAAAGTCAGACACAAAGTACATTAAATGTTAGTCCTCATTAAAATTAAAAAAAAAAAAAGAAAGAAAAATAAAAAAAAAATACTTAAAGTGAATTTTTTAAGGAAAATTGCAAAAAGAAGATGTAAGAAAGAGAAAGTGAATGACTGTAATAAATTAACAAAATTCTTTAATTAATTTTTATTTCTCTCTTCCTTTTTACTCCTTTTTATTTTTTTTTCTCTAATTTCTTTATTTTGTTTCAAATTATTTTTCGAAATTTTTTAACTTGTTATTATTTTTTTTTCTTATTTTTCTTTTCGTTCATTGTTTTAATGTACTTTCGAAATTTCATTTTCCCCATTAAAATTTATTGATTCTCTAAAAATGTACTAAGAGAGGAAAAAATAATGGAATAAAATACAATAACAAAAATGTCGTAAGAATGAAACCGAAATTAATATTGAACACATAAAACTTCATTTTTTTCGTTTTCCGCGCGACAAATTAAAATCAAAAATTATCGCCTTCAATTATACCTTTAAGAATATTTAAAGATATTAAAAGTAAAAATGTTTCTTAAAATAAAATTGTTTGTATAAAATTGCAGTGTATGTTCTACATACACCCTCATACAAAGATATTCAACGTATAGATAAATGTGAACTTAGATCTAAATCAAATAGCATGGAAAATATTATATGATTGTGTGTTTGTGAAAATGTTGATTAATAAGAGATGATAAGATGAATATATGAAAAGTAAGGATGAGTGCAATTGTACGAGTACGAGTATACGAGTAGTATCCATAGTTAAAAGTGAAGAGATTTAAAATTGCGAGCAAAAAGGGGATATTAAAAAAAAAAACAGAAAGTGAATAAAAGATTCATACTGTGTGCTTACTACAAAATTATCTCACCCCTTGCGGGATAAATAACAAGCATTAAAAAGGGAAGAAATAGCAAGAAAATAAAACAAAAAAAATTAAAGAGAATAAATTTCTTACCTCTGTTTGTTGCTTTTCTCTGCTTTATATTTTTTTTGTTCTGTTTTGTATATATATATATATATGTATGTAATCTTATGGTTCTTCCTTTTTTTATTCAATTAAAAATCTACATGAGGCTCCAATGTGCTCTATAATATAATGAAGAAAAAGAAAAATAATAAACAGGACTACAAATAAGAAATATTTAAAAAAAAAATAAGAATAAAAATCAAGGAGAGACTAGAAAATAGGACCTTTTGTGTTTTCTTTTTTCTTCTTTTTTTTTGTTTGCAATACAGGAAAATTAGCAAGGAAAAAAAATATAAAAGAAACAAGTTTAGTTTATGAGGTGCTCTTTAATTGGGGACTAAAGTATTTTGCTCTTTTTTATTTTCTTTCTTTATTTTTACTATATTTTCTATTCACTATAACTAACTTTAGCTATGTTAGTATCCCACTATAACGTATTCAAGTTGTAAAATAGAAAACTAGAAAAAAAGTTCATTCAATATTAATTTATCTTGTATACGTACACCTATGTACTCACCTTCATAATGAATGTTGGTGAATGTTGGATAAATCCGTGCTTAAATGTACAGGATTTTTTTTTTGAAGAGAAACATACAAATTGCTTTTATTATTAGATAAAATTTACAGTTATATATGTATACATTTCGACGTACATTATATGCAATCGTATGAATGTAAGTATATACGTTTGATGCATACTTCAATTTTAAGTATAAGAACTAAAGTTCATATAAGATCATCAAACTGATTGTTATAACTTAACAAGGTATGCATCATATATGAATAATAATTGAAAATATACGACTATTATAACTTTTTAAATATATGTACGTTATGCTCATATATAAATAGCCAATCAGCTATTGCACTTAATAATAGCACTTGTTATTCATCAATTTTCTGTATTAGAAAACTCGTTAATTGAATTTGTAAAATATTTGAAACAGTAAAGTTAAGTTGTAGTTTCCTAAACCTATTTCTATTCTTAATTAATCTTAACCTCATTTTCTTAACTGATTTCTTTTATTTAACTGATTTCTAGTTAACATTAAACATTATAAAGATTACAAGAACTAAATCAGGTCACAATAAAAATTTATATTCCATATTATCTAGATTAATATAGACTACATATATAAAATAAAAAATTCATATTAATTAATTACCATGTTTCCATAAAATCCAATATTAAATATAATAAACCAGCAAAATAAAACAATAAATATCAATAATTTTAAATATTTAATATGGTACACGCATTGGCGCAAGAATCTGGTTCATGGTTGTTTACGATATCATGCTTCTCACAGTAGCAAAATACGATAAAGAAATAGTCGTTTTTCGCAATTTTACAATGTGCGACATGCTAATTTTTGTATTACATAAAATTATATTTATCGTTACTTTAACAATATTTAGAGAGGAGGGATAAGATTTAGAAAATTCTAGCATTTGAAGCTTAACAGAATTTTATATTGAGTGCCTCTAAACCAAAGTGGTCTTTATTGCATTAATATAAAATAAAATTTTTTTGATGTTTTAATTGGTCTTGCACAGGTTCTAGAGTCTTTATTTTTAGCAAGCTCCCTCTTTATTAAACCACCTTTTGGCTGTAATAAATATACAAAAATTTTATAAAGTGCATACATTTCATCATTTTCAAATTAATTTTCTTTTAAAAAAATTATAAATTATTTTGTGACCAAAAACACTATCCTAACACTTTTACCATTTATTTGAAAGCCAAAATATTCACCATATTCAATTTAATCTAGTATAAAAATTTCGAGCACTTAAAACAACTTAACAGCTTAGACTTAAAAGCACTCAAACGAGCTTGTATTCATATTATGAAGCTACAATTTATGAATTAGATTGAATGCAGTATTCCTGCGTTGCATTGATAACGTAATTCAAATAATTTCATTTTTAAATAATTAAGAAAATATTGTTGTTCGTCTTGGAATTAAAAATTTTTAAACCCACATTTACTATAATAGTAATGTAGAACATTATTTTATTAAATGGAATTTTTTAAAGATTTTGAACTTTAATTTTTAACACTTGATGAAAGAAAATCCTGTGTATAGAAACGCTTAACTTCTTAAACTTCTATAAAGTTATTGTCATAAAAAATGTTATCCTTTTTGAAATTTTAAATTAATGTTAATTATTTTTTACAATTTTATTCAAAATTTATATTTATAAAAACCTTCAAAAAATTTAAACACCATACATGGTTCGAATGTGTTGTGTTTATTCTATACTTTCTTAAGGTTTTCTTTTATTTATTACAAGTTTGCATAAATAATCAAAATGAAAAATCTATACCAATCTTAAACATTGTCTTTTGTTCCTATATTTCGAAATCTCGAAATTGTAATATTTAAGAATTAAGGTGATTTCTTCCGAAGACAATATTCACGCTCCAAAATCCTTTTTGTTGCTTTGTTTTATAAAATGTATGACATAAAAAACAATTCTTTTGTTATGGTTTTCTTTTGATTTTTTTGCTTTTTCTTTGTGAAGGATACAATCTCAGCTATTATAATAATAATAATAATGAATAAAGTTTAAAATAAAATAAAAAACAAAAGAAAAAATAATTTTAAAAAGAAATTTAAAATTACGTAAACATAAGATTATGCTGGAAAGACGACAAAAAAAAAAAAATTTTAAACTTTTTGTTTTATCTTCACTTTTTACGTTTTTTATACAAATGACATGCACATTACAAGCACCTACATGTGTACAAATGAAAATCCATATCCAGTGTTATTCTATATAGGCATATACCTTTACACATGTATATACATATGCAAATAAATGTCAATACGTCTAATGCTTTACTAACATAATATTTTGAGAATCATAGACACATAAAAAAAAAATAAAAGTACAAATTGAAAAAAAAAGCAAAGAAATAGAAAAGAAAATGTACGTACATATGTACATGTATGTGTAGCTATATATGTACGTATCCATATAAAGAAGAAAATAATAACTGTGAATTCACCTAAATAACTTTAAGAACCGGTTATTCTATCTATTTTCAACTTTATCCTGCTCAATTTGTAAAAATTTTCAGAAGAATTTCACCTTTTTTTTTCTCGTTTTTTTTTGTTTAGCAAAAAAAAAAGAGAGTATA